GCGGGGCCGCCCCGCGGCGGGGCTGCCTCGCTGGCTGCCGCCGCGCGGCTCGAACAGCACCGCGGGATCCATGCGCGGCCTGTTTGTATCTGCCAACCTACCTACCCATCCATCCGTCTGTCTGTCTGTTTTCTCACACTCTGCTGGGGAGGTCCTTGCTTACTGAGCGGCATTAACTGCATTCATGAATCAGAATGGATTTTTTTTCACCCCCTTTTTTCCTTTTATTTTCCTCTTTCTTTCTTTTCGCCGTTTTGGCTCTTCCCCCCTCACACACACACTTTCCCCCTCTTTAGCCTCTTTACTCCTTCCTCCTTCCCCTTTTTTTTGCTAGTAGCATTTACGTAGGGATCCCATATCCCAAAACAGCTAGGCTGTGCTGCTGTGCCCATCACAGGCTCCCATCCTGCACCGAGAATGGGAGTGGAGTGGCTTTTTATTCTTTTTTCCTCCCTCTTAATAGTTTGCAGAGTTTGGTACAGTTAAGCAATGCAGAAGAAGAGAAAATAACTTTTTTCTTCTATTTTGTTTTTTTGGTACTATATTGCTGAATGTATTTCCCTCACACCATGACTTTTCCTGCTTACCTAAAAAAAAATCCTTTTGAATTTCATAGATCTCGGAGAAGACTCAGCTGTACTGGTTTGGAGCTCTCTTACATCTCAAGAATAAAGATACAACAGTCTAAAGCTTCAGATGTGGGGATAAGATGTATATATTGATTAAATATATATGTATATATGTATGCTGTCTATGGTATTCAGTATAATAAAGGGAGGATTTTGTGCCTTTTCAGTTGAGTTAAATAGTCAAGTTACTGTTGAGGTACAAAGAAAGGTTTCCTGCTCTGAAGCCTGATAAAACCCTAGCTTTACCTGCACTTAAAACCCGCTGGCCCTTCCCACATGAGATGGGATGTGGACAGACTATTGGGAAAGACTTACTGCAGTTTAGCAAGTGACTCCTGATCGGCTACTTTGATGTGGATAATTTGGTGCTTTTGGGGAATATGCAATCCTGTCCCTGCTGAGCTGTGCAGGTGCCCAGGGGTATCGAGACACACACACCTACATGTTCTAGCTGGGATTTATGGCATTTTCCTGCAGGGAAGAGTGGGGGAAAACTACTTGCAAAGCCCAAACCAAGGACAAAAGCATTATGAGCTCTAGCGAGTAGGATGCACATTTTTTCTCACCAGTTTTAACAATAAGCTGCAGGCCTCAGACGTGGGAGGTTTTTCTGTGTGTGGCTGTTTTCTGGACAGAACCCCGTTTCAATGATTTGAGGCGGTTCTTCAAAACACAGCATTTGTTAATGAAGAGCAGATTAGGCCAGAAACAGCTCTGTAAACAATAAATTATAAAGGATTTTGTTGCTTTAATTTAGAAATACACTGCTAAGTCCGTGGCACCCTTTAGTGCCAGTGAGCAGGAAGCACATCAGAAATCATATGAAAAAAATTTAAGAGGCTACCCTTCAGCCACAAATAATTTTGAATTGTGTATTGACTTTTTTTTTTAGTGCTATTATTTTTAAGGAGGACTGCAGCGCTGCTGGAAGATCAAACTGCTGCAAAACCTCTAGCTCCTGATAGAGGGTGGGTCAGGCCACGGACACCAAATCCGTGGCGGGGATCCCGAGCCAAGGGATGGGGGACAGGTCGGAGCGGAGGAAACGTGGCCTGGCGGCCCAGCGGGGCGGTGAAACGCCGTGTGCCGGGAGCGTGTTGCCACCCCGCGGCTCTGGCTGCCTCCTGCATCGCGGTGCCTGGCGCTGAGCTTGCCCCGAACTGTGGAGCCGCTTTTGGGGCCTCGAGTTCCAGCCGAATCCCAGGCAGAACCGGCGTTTTCTTCCCAGTGTTGGTGCAGCTGAAGCTCCTGTGACTCCCTTCAGTCAGAGGGGCTCCCGATACGGTTTCTGCTCCGAGAGGACCCCGTTTCCTCAGGCGCCACCGGGAACCCCGCGCAGACCTGCCGGCCCTGGAGGAGGCCGCGAGGGGGGCACCGC